CTTTACTGTCCTTGATAAATAAAAGTATTGATTTCTTTCCTCCAAAAAATAAAAATAAAATTCTCACTGACCCCAAACTTTTGAACGGTAGTGTATATATATATATACATATACGTATATATTTTTTTGAGGTTGAGTTGCTATACTGTTTTCTAGTAGACGTTCCTTGACTTTTTTTCCGTATTCTCTCAATTAATCTGATTAAGACTGATAAGAATAATAGACTACATGCATTGTATATTCAACAAAGATAATTACCACATCTAACGCAAAACTAACAAATGGAACAACTCATCTTTTACAAGTGAACCCACAGCGTTAACTGCTAAGGATGATGGACAGTTGACCTCAGATTTAATTGGCGAGGCTGTTCGGTGGAGAAAATGAGTTACAGAGTTCCCTGGATGAATAACGGGCGCTTGCCTAGAGCTTCTGCAAATTAAACATCTGCGAGCAATTCCTCCACTGATCATTTCATTTTCTAGCCAAAAGGGGAAGGTTCATCTTGCAGTTCAGACTAAAAGAAGAAAAATTACAATAACGATGATCAACTTTCTAAATATTTATAAGATCTCGCTGCATAAGAAAGTAGTTTCGTGTTAAAAGGAATTTCGAACTGTTTAAATTGGCCTGAAAAGGTCATTTCTGGGCGCTCTCTGCTGTGACCGTCTCCATATGAAGGCTGATTCACAAGCACAAATATAGCCTCACAGATTACAGCACTGGTGAAGCAACGATGAGTTAAAGCATCAGAAAACCTGAGGGCAATAAATGATACCAATCTTTATGTGACAAAATCAAGCTTCTCTGGGCCGGGCAATACATACAGCAAACAATAGAACGATATTAAACCTCATGCTGAGGACAATACTGCGGGCTTTGTGGAGAGGACATCCAGGACGTAAAGCAGGACAAAATGATGCTATCTATAAATGTAATATAGCTTATAGCTCAATGGGCCACATTTCTGCCACAGTTCAAGAAAAACAGGTAACATCTGGAATTTCATCTGGTAATATTATTGATAATCTTGTTTCAACTGGACAAAACTGAAAAAAAAAAATGTGCTGCATTTTTAAAAGTTGTTTCAGATTATTATTATTGTTATAATAATACAATTAGTAATATTAATAATATATTTAAATATATATATATTCAATATATATGTTTCAAATTATTAATAATAACAATAATAATATTATAATACGCCTCTATACACCTCTTTCAGGGCCTGTTTTGTGCATACGCAACGATTATAAATGAGGCCCCAGGTTTCTGGTTCCTCAAGACTCAAGAGAGCCCCAAACCTGACCCGGCTTCAGCACTCTTTTGTAACAGTGAGGCTTCCTGCCACCACATTTTTTTTTTTTTTTGGCTGGTCCTAACAACACCTCAGAACCCTCAGTTCACCTCATCATACTCTGCAAAATTCTCCGAAAACAGATTCGACCCTATGAAACCTCTCTGAGGATGCATGAATTAAACTGGTTTCCATGTAGAAGGCTAATTACACTCAACCCAGTCCAGCGAGATCCCATTTTCTGCCAAGCACACTTCAAAGTGGCTCGGAAAAGAGAGGGAAAATTGACATTGCATGTTGCGAATCAATAGATATTTACAGTATCTGTATTTTTTGTCCACTTTCAATGCTCCTAGTCAGAACTACTATTTTTATTTCCCAAGCTGCCTTTGCAAAAAATGGTTATTTGTAAAATGTTTGGAAATTTCTGGAAATGACTAAATGTTTTAGCGCTCTAAATTGTGTGCCACCGTTCCCCCTTAGTAACAGATTCATAACCCTCACTTTTGACCAAATGATGCTGTGGAAGAACTCTTTAGGAAGTGGTAATGTGTATAAATGGCAATTCATAAAATCATCAAGTTTGTCCCTGTTTACACTGAAAGCATGACAAAATGTTTTCTGTGTGCATAAAACACCCTGACAGAACCATTTCCCCATCGACTGCTGTCTGAAGATGAGGAATGTTCTCTAAATAAGATATTACTCTGTGGGATGAGAAATCTCCTTAGACAACGTTTGAAATGAGTCCCAATTACATCTTTGATCCAAACAGGCAGAGGAAAACAAAACACTTGCAACTGCATAAACGCATTCAGATTCAACCCCACTCAGACACGTCAGATTTGAAACCTGGAGACATGCTTAAAAATTTTGACTGATTTGTCCCAATTTAGATGGTCATGTGACCTAAATATGTTAAAATATGATAAATATGGTTAAGAAATAAACTCAAAAATAAACTTCCTGCCAATACTCTTGTGAAACAAAAAAGGAGACATTTTGCAGTCTTTATGCAGCTTTTTTCTGTACAAAAACAAAACGACAAAAAAAGCACAATAGAACTATCATAAAAGTAGTCCATCTGAATTCTAAAAGGCTGAAATCTAATTTGTTGTAACAGAAGCCATTTACACTGAATAATGATCTAAATTTGGGTTGTGTGATTTCAGAACACATGAAATATAGCACACAGAGTCTAAACTACTTTTATGGTTATTTTATGGTGTTTTTTGGACACATGAGATCACATAAAAAATGGGGCTGAGTAAATAATGACATTTTTGGTTCAACTATTACTTTAAAAAACAAGAATTATTGAATATATTGATATAAAAGGAAATAATCTGATTTAAAAACATGATATTATACATACACGATGTTATATGGGCCTTGAATAAATTCTAAAGCAATCAAAGTCAGGAGTATTAGTATGCAATGCTAGTTTCTTCCCACAGAATAGCTTAGTAAAGGATGAACATCATGTTCCCAGCGCAGTGAATTCCCAGCAGGGGAAGAGTGCCATCTTTGGGTAATGACAGAATGAATCTGCCTTACCATACTCTCAACATTGTTCCTAATACAGGGATTTACAAAAAACTAAAACAGTACAGTATGTCGAGTTAAAGCTGAAATGTATGGAAGCTCGTTTCTGCCACAGAATAAAAAATAAAAAAGGTAATTGGGACTTTTTCTCTCTCACAATTCTGCCTTTTTTCTGGCAATTGCGAGTTTACGTCTCTTTTTTTCTCAGAATCGCATGATATAAACTCGCACCTGCGAGTTTTAAAGTCAAAATCGCAAGATATAAACGTGCAATTCTGACTTTAAAACTCACAATTGCGAGTTTATATAATCGCAATCCTGAGAAAAAAAGAATTGTGAGATAAAAAGCCGCAATTAAATTTTAAACAGTTTTTTTCCGTGGTGGAAACAAGCTTCCATAGAAATGCGTACTTTTTATATAAAAAAACAACAACATTTATCCTGTTCCAGCTTAATGCAGAGACAACTATAAATAAGATATTAAAAGGTAGATTTCCCTGAAAAACTCGTTCATTTGAAAATTCCGACCAGCCTGACATAGCAACAGTGGCTCAAGCCAATGATGTGAGTTTGGGGGCGGAGCTATTTGCTTGTTTAACCAATGACAAATGAAGGGAGTGTTCTAAAAACCTTTTGAAACAGTCATTATTTTTGCTTCATTTGGTACTGCTAGAGGCACACCAAAAAAAAAAAAAAAAAAAAAAAAAATCACACAAAAAGTAAGACTTTTTAAAAATGTAATATAGTAACTGTTAATGAGTTGTATGAAGGTTTCTGCTTCATTAATTCAATAACTCTCTGTTCAGAATTCCGGCCAACAGAGTAATGCTTTAATTGCGAAAAAACATCCTGTGGTGGCATTATAATCATACACAAGTTTCACAGCATCAAAACCTCATTTGAACAGCCAAAGGCGCTCAACCATCTCCTGGCCTATCAAACGTATAAAAGCCAAAGAACACAGCAGGGTGAGTGTTTGATCGAGAAGTTGGACGAAATAAATACTTTCTTTCCCCCCCCCCTGGTGCTTCAAAAAACAGACCATACATAAAAGTGAAGAGGAGTTACCTAACTAGAGTCTAGATGATAGGCTCCGCAGGGTCTGTGTCAAAAGGCTCTTGGTGTTGAGCACCGCATTAAAGCATATCAGAAGAGTGCGTCTATGCCAATTACTTGCGATGACAGTAACCCTTAAAAGGCCTTCTGACAGAGTGGGCTCATTATCCACAGGAGGATTCCCCTTGAGTTAGTGTACTCAGAGCAGCTGGGTTTAAGGTCAAGGAGATCTGTGGCAGATTAAAGAGGGACCAAAATGATCCAATTAGCAATTTTGAGCGCTACAGATGTCTTTGTCTGGATGGAGAACACCTCAATTTTCTTTTTCGTCAAAGATTTGGATGCGAGGACTCAACATGACATCTGTGGAACAGCAGAGGTCTGCAGGCCGATTGACATCAACATGATGTTCTGTCACAAAAATATCACATCTGACAAATTTCAGCTAATAAAATGGACTTCTCCATCAAGGCCATTTTCATGGATTTCACCAGAGTTTTCATATCGGTGCATAACAGATAAAAACCAAAAGTAAAACAAATTCCTGGAGTGTAAATAAATTAAAAACAATACACTAAAACCTAAAATTGTTTTAAAAGCTACAAGTTAATTTTGGCACAACAAAATTATAATGTACAGTATAACAATTGTTTTTTTTGTTTTTTTTAGATTTGCTATACATTTAACAGTGTTATCGAATTATTAGTGTTTCTTAAGATAACTTTAAAGACTAAGTGATTATCAGATGATGTTCAATATCATACCAATAAATAAAAGGCAGATGCTATAAGGACAGATGCTATTTACACCAAGTGAAATCTCTAAAATTGCCTGTTAACTGATATATCCTTCATCCCTAACTGTACCGATAAATAGCACCCCTACTTTACACCGTACCACAACAACGCACAATACATTTAAATGCAAAGAAAGTGTCGAGCACCACATTAGCCAGCCATGATGAACAACAGAACATTATTTCAGTCGCTTGATTTGTACACTTTCTGCAGGGTCACGCTCGGTTGCGCCGCCCACAGTGAAATGTCACATAATGGCTCACGCGTTTGGGACAAAACACGGCTTAAATGCGGCTACTCACAGAACTGACACAACGTCCCCTCGCTGCACTTGGTAGTTCCTCACAGTCCAGCGGTTCAGCAGCACAACATCAGGTGACGACCCTCCATCTGGGTTCAAGGACGGCTGGGAAAGATTCAAACCAGGATATTTAAGAGTCTACACGGAGTCTACAAGAGTCTCTAGAAGAGTTGAGACAGATTAGAAACTTTTAAGTTTCATCATTTGTTCTTTTTGGTCTGTGATTTATTGCTTTAATCCTCCGCTCCACAAAACTACTGTAACTCTAAGAATAAACTCAGTGGCAGCAACTTTGCTTTAATTTTGTTCTGGAAAAGAATCGCTCTGTTCTTCATTCAGCCTTTCGACTGAAGGATAAAAATAGCGTCTGCAAGTTAACTTCGAAAACAGAATTTGTTTTTCTCTTAACTCTTTTTGTGGTGGTATATCAAACAACTTGTGTGTGACGAACCTTCTCAAACATGCAAGTCAGCGACTGACTTGATACACGGGCCTCCAATGAATCATTAAGGGAGATCTCTATGAGCCATTTCACGCTTGCTGGGATAATTGACAGAAATATCTCTTATCTGTCCTTCTAAAATAAATATCCCGACGAGCCTTCCCGCCTAGAGAATTTATCTGTCACAGCTGGGCGCTCTATCTTTTTTATTCAGACACATTTTCTCATTCTGTATTGGTGTCAGCTTTCAGCATTGTCCATGGAGTGACTTATTTGGATTCAAAGGCCGTGGATGGACCGGGTAAAGCCATTAGCAAATTTATAACACTATGAACCGAGATAGAAAACCAAACTCCAAAAGGAAAACAACAACACCACCACCACCAGTGTTTTGGTTAGTTAGTGTTCATTAGGTACATAATGAACCATTACTTCTGTTTGGCGAGGAAATGAGCATGGTGTATTCAGACGGGTTTCTCTCATTATTAGAGGTGTCTTTCATTGTGGTCTTAGTGCTATTAGTGCAATGTTTAGGACATTTGGTTTGATCGAGCCTTGATGCAAAGTCCTAATATTAAAAAAAAGGTTATTGAATAGAGATGCTTGTTAAAGTAAAGTTCTCTTAGGGCTGGGCAATATATTGAATAGTCATAATATATTTGCAATTATTTTGATGGTATTGTGAATATGGTCATGATTTTAATGTTCTTTTTATTGGCTATTAAGCTTCCTAAACTTTCGCAAAACTTTCCCGTAAGCAAGCAGAGATGTTTTAATAGTGCCTTTGATTTAAACTCGGAAAAAATGGTGCTAAACTTGGTGAGTTTGATGCATTTCTATGAATTAGTTTAAGCTGTTTGTCTCAATGAAACGATTCTAAGTTTTTCTTTGAGCGACTCAAAATTTGCATCATCACTCAAAAAATGTTTTTAAAAAACTAATTTTGTTACACTGCTGCATTTTAAATGGGAATTATTCAATATAATTCTGTTATATTACGGTATTTAACAGTAAATTGAAAACCAAAAAAAATATATATATATTAAATACCAAGATTTATTTATTTCCAAAATGTCGAAAAATATCTAGATATATTAAGTCCTATGACCATTTTTATTTTTCATATTATATAAATTATTACATAGAAATAGTGAAGATGGGGAAAGAAAATTACTATGGTGACAAATACAGTAAAGTGATAAAAAAAAGCCGGACTCAAACCTGCATCGCCCAAAAAAGCACCACAGCTCAACGTGCCAACAAAATGACCTTGAATTACCTTGTAAGTTGTTTCATAAGAAAACTGCACATCTTTGCTTTCAGCAAAGCTAGACTAAACCAGATTCATCAAAACAACAATGTTACCAAGAATAGTTTGATGAAATGTTTAAAGGACAACTCACCTGCATGGAGGCACCTTCTACGCGTGCCACATAGGCAAGACGATCTAAAACCGTCACTGTCACGGGGACGGCTACAAAGAAGCCACTAACAAACGCTCTGAAGTATCTTCGCCCAAAGCCCGTCTGCGCCATTGCCTGAAGAGAGAGAGATAGAATGAAAAGAGAAAATGACCTTGACTGGTTTAAAGAGTCTGGTAACATCTTATGAAGAAACAGCAAAAATGTTTTTGTTGAAGTCTTTCAGGCATGTTTCAGTGATGTGTTGGATGACTACTGACTAGCCTCACAAAGAGAACAAAAGTACCAAAAGCAGACCAGATAACCACACTTAAGCATGAACCATCTTGTTTTGAATCAAACTGCAAGGGACTAGTGAGGTCAAAAAGAAGAAAACACTCATAAAGCAACCATTTAAATAATGAATTTAGTAACTGCAACTCTATAGACCGTATTCGCAATGACAAAACTCTGTAGACCCAATGCATTAGAGCAGAAAACCCACTGAGGCATTGAAATTGAATCTGACAAGAGCACGCTTGCTCTAATACCATTAAATGATAGTGTGATGCTTGATTTGGAGGTACAAGGCATGCAATTATGCCTCTCGTTCATTATACAGAGTTCCCCATAGAAACAAAAAGACGAAGAGCGGCTTGTACTATTTTCCCAAAAAAGCCCTAAAGGTCTCCCGCAGCAACTTTGCAGGCTTACTGGTAAGCACTTGAAGAAAGTCTTGAAGACATTTGCTTGCAGGAGGGCATTCAAGATGTTACGCTGGTAGCAGGAATGAAGCAGAGAGTGAATCCAAACGCAAGCACTTTAATAATCCAACACACAGGTAATCCAGGGTAAACGCAGAACAAGGTATTCAGAAGAACAAGGAACAGCTACAAGCAAACATTAAACAACAACCGACAGCCAACAACTGAAACACAGGGGTTTAAATACACAGACAAACAAGCTAAACAAGATAACAAGGCGTGGTTAATTAGAGACACCTGGGGAGACTAATAGACATAGACGAGGAACACCTGTGGACACTGAGCAACAACATGACAAAAGACAAGACACATGGCAGGATAACATGACAAACAGGGAATCACATGACAGACAAGAACAAGGAACAAAACACAAAACCCACACCGTGACATAGCCCCTCCCCTATGGGCGGCTCCCGACGCCCATAAAAACAAAAAACAATAGTTCAGGAGGGTGGTGAAGCGGAGGCGGTCTGGGGGAGGGATGGAGGGCCAGGCCCGCACAGGGGAACGGGACCAGGACATAGTCATGGTGGACCTGGGCCATGAAGCGTGGGCGGACCAGGTTGTGCAGGCGACCAGGGTGGAGCAGGCAGTTCAGGTGGCCACGGTGGAGAAGACCCTTCGGGCGGCCAGGGCGGTGAAGACCCTTCGGGCGGCCAGGGCGGCGAAGACCCTTCGGGCGGCCAGGGCGGCGAAGACCCCTCGGGCGGCCACGGCGGTGAAGACCCCTCGGGCGGCCACGGCGGTGAAGAGGGCTTTCGGCTGGGCAGGACCAGCCGTGAAGAGGGCTCTGAGCTAAGCAGAACCAGCGGCGAAAGAAACTCTGCGCTGGACAGGACTGGCGCAGGATCAGTGAGCTCTGGTGCAGGATCAACGGCCCCTGGCGCAGGATCAGCAGGCTCTGGCGCCGGATCAGCGGGCTCTGGCGCAGGATCAGCGGGCTCTGGCGCAGGATCAGCGGGCTCTGGCGCAGGATCAGCGGGCTCTGGCGCAGGATCAGCGGGCTCTGGCGCAGGATCAGCGGGCTCTGGCGCAGGATCAGCGGGCTCTGGCTCAAGGGTGTGCGTAGCCCACACACACCACATGGCTGTGGCCATAATGGCCAGTGTTGCGGTCACTGAGGGTTCAGGCGGCGCATGCGTGGCGTGATCAGTCTCTGGCTGGGCAGACGTGACGTGAACGGTCTCTGGCTGGGCAGACGTGACGTGAACGGTCTCTGGCTGTGCAGACGTGACGTGAACGGTCTCTGGCTGGGCAGACGTGACGTGAACGGTCTCTGGCTGGGCAGACGTGACGTGAACGGTCTCTGGCTGGGCAGACGTGACGTGAACGGTCTCTGGCTGGGCAGACGTGACGTGAACGGTCTCTGGCTGGGCAGACGTGACGTGAACGGTCTCTGGCTGGGCAGACGTGACGTGAACGGTCTCTGGCTGGGCAGACGTGACGTGAACGGTCTCTGGCTGGGCAGACGTGACGTGAACGGTCTCTGGCTGGGCAGACGTGACGTGAACGGTCTCTGGCTGGGCAGACGTGACGTGAACGGTCTCTGGCAGGGCAGACGTGACGTGACGCGTCTCTGGCTCGGCAGAAGTGACGTGAAGCGTCTCTGGCTCGGCAGAAGTGACGTGAAGCGTCTCTGGCTCGGCAGAAGTGACGTGAACAATCTCTGTGCTGGATGGAACCAGCGGTGCAGGAAGCTCTGGGCTGGACTGGACCAGCGGCGAAGGAAGCTCAGGCTGGACGGGCTCTTGCTTAGGAGCCACCGGACACGTTGTTGAGGAGGCCATTCCTCTCCTCCTCCTCCGTCTCCGGACCACCGGACTCGGGACCACCGGAACCGGAACCAGCGGTGAATGCCGGGCATGACACGGGATGAAGCTCTCCAAACATTTGGAGAGCGCCTCTCTCCAGCCCAGACCGGAGAGATCGGGGAGCTCCCTAGGATTGACCTCCTTAGCCGCCAGCCGGTAACATAGTTTTATCGCCTCATCCTCTAGAGAGCAGGAGGCAGCAAGTGAGGCAAACCCCCAGGTGAACTGAAACAAATCAGGGCTCCTCAGGGCTAAGGCCGCGGTCTTTCCAGCGAACTCCAAGCTCATGCTGGGAAGATCAGGCGAGATCCGTGCTTCTGGATTCATTTTTGGTCGGTTGTTCTGTTACGCTGGTAGCAGGAATGAAGCAGAGAGTGAATCCAAACGCAAGCACTTTAATAATCCAACACACAGGTAATCCAGGGTAAACGCAGAACAAGGTATTCAGAAGAACAAGGAACAGCTACAAGCAAACATTAAACAACAACCGACAGCCAACAACTGAAACACAGGGGTTTAAATACACAGACAAACAAGCTAAACAAGATAACAAGGCGTGGTTAATTAGAGACACCTGGGGAGACTAATAGACATAGACGAGGAACACCTGTGGACACTGAGCAACAACATGACAAAAGACAAGACACATGGCAGGATAACATGACAAACAGGGAATCACATGACAGACAAGAACAAGGAACAAAACACAAAACCCACACCGTGACACAAGAGGCTCAAAAATCAGAGACTACAACAACTTAGATGTGAGGGTGAAAAACAAAAATGCTGAGCGAATCACAACGCAGTGCAGGATTTGTCAGGGTTGCACTGCTCAAACAGAGAAAATGACCTTTTGTGGTGGAAAAAAAAGACACCTTCCTAGTCGAGGCAGCAACACTAAAGTAATACAAACTTAAACTTTGCATGAAATGGCATTCGCAAACCATTTTACTTCTTTGTAGGCTTTCCTTTAGCTCAAAGTAGATCGTGGTGCTAGCAACACCAAGGTCATGGGTTCGATTCCCATGAAAAGGAAGAACTGATCAAATGTAAATGCGCACCTTGAATGGATTGCTTTGGAAGTTGCTTTGGATAAAAACATGCATAAACATAAACTTCTGTAACTTCTAAACTTCACAATTATGAGAAATAACGTCTCAACTGTGAGAAATTAATTAAAAATTGTGAAATTGCTACGTTCTCCATCGACACCTGTGGTCGAAATATAAAAAAGCAGGTTACTTGTAGAGGATGTTTTTTACTAGATACACAGATCACTTTAACTCAAAACAATTGAGGAAACCAATTTCCTTAAAATTATTAAGTAAAAAAACTCATGCATAATTGAAAAAATGAAGTTATGTGAACTTGACATTTTAAATTACGCATTGTTTATTTACTTGTACTGTAAAAAATTATATGATCAATAAGTTATGACAACATATGTTTTTACATTGCTTTAACTCATCAAAATAAGTTAACCAATTTTTAACTTTTTCTAAGATTCAACTAATTTTTAAGTCAGTTTAATGTAATTTAAGTTGAAACCAACCGTAAACCATAAACAAGCAAGTTGATTGTATTTAATATAAGGCAGCAACTTTTTTTTTACAGTGTATTAATTTTAAGGCAAAGGAGTTTCCTCTCTTTTTTTAAGTTAAGTCAACTGATTTTACACAATCACTTTTTACAGTGTAGATGCACAGATCACGGATTATAAAAAAAACCAACAAAACCAACTTTACTGTATATCCAAGAAATATGTAATCTGAGCAAGCCATAGTAGCTGGACCCTTCTTTTTTTTTTTTTTTTTTTTTTTTTTTTACTTTTCTGATAAAACAATCACATAAGTACAAATGTCAGAAGTTAGAAATCTCCTGCAAAAACTTCACAGCTCTGAATATAAATCATTTAGTACTGTAGTAATTCATTTTTTTAACAATATTTTGACTTTTTATGTTGAGACTTTCTAAAGCAAGAAAAGTGTACAATTGTCAACATTATAAAAAAATATTTTTTTATATTGAAAAATATAAAAGAAATTCTTAAATATTATAAAAGACTAAAATACATATGATTATCAATATAAATTTTGACATAAATTCAAGTAAGTATGTTAGAAGGCAGGGTTTAATGAAATCACAGTTGCAACAACAGTAAAATTGTGAAATATTATTACAATTTAAAATAACTGGTTTCCATTTCAATATATTTTAAATATAATTTATTTCTGTGATGCAAAGCTGAATTACTCCAGTCTTCAGTGTCACATGATCCTTCAGAAATCCTTCTAATATAATGATTTGCTGCTCAATAACTATTTCTTATTTTCATCAATGTCAAAAACTTGATATAAAACAGTTTGATATTTTGGAAACCGTGATACATTTGTTTCAGGATTCTCTAATAAATAGTAAGTTATGCCAAGTTAATGAATTTTGATTAAACATTATTTTTCTCTGGAAGACCTTGCAAGAATCAAACACAATAACATGTGTTAATAATGCCGTCAAATGTTTGGTTACCAACATTCTTAAACATATCTTCTTTTGTGTTCAGCAGAAGAAAGAAATGAATGCAGGTTTGGAACAACATGAGGGCGATTAAATGATGACAGAATTTTCATTTTTGGGTCAACTATCCCTTTAAGAAAGTAAACAGGGTCAATTTTGATTTCACATCTTCGTCTACCAGATTCTCTGATGTGTCTCTGGCACTTCTTGTAGTGTTAAGTATTAATTCGCTTAGTTCGTGAAGAGATGCATCTAGCACAAGAGTGCGACTAATGAACTATTATGACAACGAGTGGCTAAATTATCCATGGTGTTCTGGGTAGACCTGCCAAGTGCCAGCTGTCAGGTTGCTCTAACAATAATCCCTCACCAGCACATACAGTGAAAGATTGCCAATCACCACGGAGCCACACAACACATGACAGGCTACAAAAAAAGAAAGAAAAAAAGTCTATTTTTGCTTGTCCCGAGCCACAATCCTATATTTTTCCTTCAGGCTACAAACAGAGAGTGAAGTAATGGTGTAATGCCCAGCCCGAGGCTCTATATACAGTAGATGGTTGGCACATGGATCTCAAAGGTGCGTAAAGTGGAGCATCTAATAGTTTATTCTTAAAAACGGGCAGATGGGAGAATCTAGGACTGGTGCGTGGTGATCAAAAGAAAACGTCAAGTTCATTTTTCATCAAAGGCCCCTTTCAGAGTCAGAGTCGAGAACATTTTCCACCATTCTCCATGTGCTAAGGACAGAAATAAAACCGCGAGCGATAAAAAAAAACAAGGTTGGCACAGCAGGTGTGCAACAAAGATGGTTTTTTTTTGTAGCCGAACCCAATTAAAAATGTGTTTCTAGAGTTGAAAGCAAATGCCTCTGTGATATTAGGTGACCGTTCCACGCAGCTGCGAAGCGGTGCATGGTGGTCTCCAGCAGAATCAATTTATCATATGCTTCCCGTTTATAACTCCTAACCCATTTATCCTGCAAGTAATACTGTCAAATATGCCACCTGCATAAAGAAAAACTGTAGCCTGTTACCTTTGTTTATATGAGCGTAACCATTTTAATTGCACTAGTCATCAAATATGTCGAAAAATGCTTAGTGAACTCGCTGCTTTAGGGTAATTTGAAACTGCAATGACAGATTTCCACTCTTGACAAGGCAATTTTCGGTTTCCTTGATGCATGGGCATATTTTAACAGTGCATTTCACAACACGATGCTGACAGGCGGAATCTGGTTAAATTATCTCAATGTCTGCAGCTGTATGATTTCAGCTGGAATGCTTGACCATTAGTCTGCATCATAGCAGCGGTGAGATTAATGATGTTCTGCAGACAAGCAGACAGAAAGAATGACACTGACTCACAGTATCCTATGGTAAAACTTTTGAAAACAGTTAATAATATGCACTAAGTGAAATGTTGACTGATTTTAAGGTTCACATGCATCTTAAAAAGCCTTTCTTTTTTTATAATATTATTTAAAAAATATAATTATATATATATATATATATATATATATATATATATATTATAACATTTAGTTATATATACTTATATATATATATATACCGCATATAACATATTTCTCATTTTCTTTTAGTAAAGACATGTATATGCAGTGTAGTTATGTGGGTAACCAAACAGTTGATGCCATAGTATATGGGTATTTTTTTTATGGAAGTCAATGGGGCCCATTAACGGTTACTGGCATTTTTGTGTTCAGCAGAAGACAGAAATGAATGCAGGTTTGGAACAACTTGAGGGTGAGTAAATGATGACAGAATGTTCATTTTTGGGTAAACTTTACCTTTAAATAGTTTATATATTTAAAGCTGCAGTCCGTAACTTTTTTTGTTTTCAAAATTTACAAAATGTATACAATAAGCAAGTACATCATGAATCCATTTTCCAACCCGTGTTTTGAATCACTTCGGTACACCTATAATAAGTGTTTATATTCGGACTATTTTAGACTGGTTCGGGTTGTACCATTGCCCAGTAGCCTACCTGCGTGACTCGTCATAGATATAAACAGAGAGAAATAGCTGCGGCTACACTACTCTTCCGTAGGACGCATCCCAGACAGCAACATAGTGTCGACTCGGCACAGATTCGGTCCACATCTGGTATGTGTTGAATCCACGTGTACCAGATGTGGGCCGACACTATGTTGCTGTCTGGGATGCAGTTCGGTTTATTAACCGCAAGAGCGCCAAAAGATACGGACTGCAGCTGTGTATGTAGTTTATTAAATATATGTAATAATATATACAACCATTTTATACTGCAAAGCCAATATGAAGTGATGTTTTCACAAGTTACTGATTAGAAATTCTAAATAATCGTGTTCATTAGGGCAGATACAGAGGGCAGCTTTAATTAATTAGCCTAGAATCTAAATCCAGCATTCCTATGGGAGAATCTTTTTATATCAGTATATTCACGTGTTGGCAATATATTATATATATATCGCATAAAAAATGACAATGCTGGTCTTTACTCCTGAACTGAGAGACTGTGAAGAGCAGTAAACAATGCTCAAAACATCATAAACGGCCTACCTAAAAATATATATACATTATTAGGACAATTAACATTTGGGCAGCATTAGCCTGTTTTAAAACCCCATAGAAAGATCTCGAAGAAAACAGCGAATTAGTCTTCTGGGTTCTGACGTCACACCTGCACCACTCGGAAGTCCCGCCCTACATCTTTTCTTGTTTGAGAAAGCAAACTCGGATATACATCAAAACAGTGAAGACTATCAAGGAGGTGCATTTAACTCAGTTAGGAATGGATTACTAATTAGTAACACACTGTTTACTGCACAGTATACACTGTCTACTAAAAAAATAACATGAAATACTAATATACAAAAACAAACTATTTGAATGTTATTGAACTATATCACCATCACATGACCTTTTAACAAAGCATGTGTGTATAAAGTGGCTTCCAGTTATCATTCTGGATATAAAAACTATTATTTTGCTTTTGCATAACAAATTCTTAACAGCTATCTCTTTACATTAAATGTTTAAATTTGTGTCTGATACAAGGTTGTGATTCTGGAAATGGAAGGTCAAGTCGATTCAAGTGCACTGCATTGTGGGATATAGTATTCTGTATAGTTATGATGCTGCACATTTGTATTACAAAATAATTACAGGTTTTGAGACACAGCACGTGAGCTCTGACAGATCGCCAGTTCATACAACAGTAGGCTACAACATTAGCAAATGTCGTAGTCTTATCTTACATCTCTCTTGTTTCATTTTGTTGTGTACTAAGTTAAAAACTGCAACACTAGCTCACACTACATGAGTAAATCTACTATAGTTTAGCGTGAATGGCGACCACGCTGGATTGACAGGACATGTCGCTACTACTATAAAAAGAGCAAACTATGGGCGTGTGATGAACTTTATCACGGATGGATGCAATTAACACACAAAAGCAAAAGTGAAGCATTAACCCTTCAGCACTGGTAATGTCTGAATGCTGAGTATCAATGGTTTCAGACGTGTCAACACACTCACCTAATGTCTTTATGTATGTGCTGTACGTCGCTCCGTCAGTGGGACACCACGCTCGCTGCTTCCCGGGTCCTAAAGCCCTCCATGTCTGAATCATATTCCTGACAGGAAGATTACAAATATATAATAATATATGAGGAAAAGCCCTCACAAAACCTACTATACATTATTAAGTTCATATTCAATTTTAGCATAAGAAAACAAGGATATGAGTAAAAAAAGAAAAGGAAAAAAAAAGCGTCTTTATTATGGCGCCAAATGATTGCCCATTGTATCAATAACATGATACACATACTACTGCATGTCCACAAAACATTGTATTATGGTCATATAAAGAAAAGAAAAGACACATTTTGTTTTTAAAGTAGGCCTATGTGGCAGATGTAAATGTTGGTCATTTAGAATTTACAAAATTTACCACCAAATTGACCAATTATGGGAACTCCATCAAATTGTAAAAAAATGATATGATCATTAAGTTATGACAAAATGTTTTTACACTGCATTAACTCATCAAAATAAGTTAAGTCATTTTCAACTTTTTTTTAAGTTGTACAAGATTCAACTCATTTAGGTCAGTTTTAATGTCATTTAAGTTGAAATGTCTTAAACATCCAAGTTGATTGTACGTATAAATTTAAGGCAGCAACTTTCATTTATTTACAGTGAGTTAAAAGAAGCCGTGGTTAATGACTCTTTGTAGTCTTCGTATTGGATCTATCTCAAGAGCAGCAATAATAAATGAAAACTCCCACTTTACATCAATCAACCTTTATTTGTGTGATGGTTAATATTCAACATTTACAAATAAAAACTTTAGTTGCAACATTCAAAGCTATGAACTGGTTACATTTTCATATAAACACCTTTTGTACAAAATCTGTAACACATGTGGCTATATGGAATACTTTCATCCCATTGTATGATATAAAGTACAACTTTACAAGTTCAAAAAATTGAACAGAAAGAGTATAATCCATAAAAAGGAGAGTGAAAGGAGAGAAGAGGAGAGGAGAAATACAAGCGTCCTACGACTTGACCATTGGCAATCCATCGAAATTACAAAACATGATTGCCTGAAATGAGCAACTCTCGTAAAACATGGGAATATGAGAACATTTGCTGCAAAGCCGTTAATAAAATAGGGAACAAGCGAATCGGTGCCCATCTGTAAGAATTGTGTCACTGTTCCAACTTTAGTTTGATTTTTCGTGCTTCAAATGTTTTAGGTTGCCAAAAAAAATACAGCACTTTGTACTTTGTATTTATCTACAAAAATGCAATAAAATAACAGGGGACATTTTTGCTATGAACAATTTTGTATAAAATGCAGACCATTTCGATTGTCCACGTGATTCCCGAAGGCTGTTGCATGTTTTTGAAGTTGTATTTCAACAACTAAATACATCAAATTATCCATTATTTATTAAAGGAATTGTGGGCTTTCAAGCTGGCAGTGAAAAAGCTGTTTGTTACGATCAATTTGACATCAAAATGTGGCAACGTTTCTCTTTTCTTTTGAAATGCAACTTCTTAAATGTCTAAAAATCAGCCGTTTCATTAAACATTTGCTGGCTTTGTTAGCAAGATGAATGTTTTGATGTTTTAAGTTAATTTTCCAAGTTAAAAATGACACATAAAATTATTTATTTGAATGATTTAAAGAAACTTTCAATGAAAATATGGTGCAAAAAATTACTCTTAAAAAAAAAAAACAATATAAAAGATAAACCAATATAAAAGAAAATCAATTCCACACAGCATTTCCTAAACTTTGTGTTTATCATCTATGACCTAAAGTCCAAATAAGAGTCCAAATTGAATTTCTGACCTCGATGTGAACAGTTCTGTCGGATTTAACATTTAAAGGAGAAAGAAACACAGATTTGATCCAGCCAATATTGTTCGGAAGTGACTGCGGCGACACAACCTGATTTAGGATCTGGCTGCTGGGAAAAGTGTTTGTTTCTATCACTCTTTGCAAACTACAATGGTTATATTGCTTTGTAACTGCTCATGCCCCATGCAGTCTTGATCTACGCCTCTGCACACGGTTTAAGAAGCACATTGTTGAGCACTAGCGGTCACGCTAACTTCAGGTAAGCTTTCCTAACTACTCTCACTGACAAAGAAGTTAATACTGTTTGCATCTTTGGCACAAAACTCGGAGACCACACAATTTCATCACATGGCACATTTAAACGGTCAGGCAGTTTCGGTAGATACGAGGCTACATTAGAAAAAAAAAAACACTAAGAAATATGTAGCACCTTTTAGCCATTCCGGAAAGTACAAAGCGGTTAAAACGGGATGCAGGTCTAGCTGCACGCCTCGGTTCGTGTAAGACCAAAAAAAGAAAAGAAAAAGACTGCCATAGTGTGGAAAGAAAAGCTGTACAACACTGATTTTGTACTTCTATCAAAAATACCTTGCTAGCAATATGTTTCAGTGCACTCTAAATGGGATATGGACCTGCCAGATCTTCAGATTTTTGCTGTAAATTACATGCCATTTTAAAGCGTACATATAATCTCTTCAAGGCTTTTCCAGTACATTATCATTTCCAGCTGTAACTGCATATCAGAAGGACTGTGTCCGGTTCAGTTCATCGGTGAAGAACGTTTCTGAGCTGCACTTCCACAAAATAGTCACCCAAATATGCAGCCGAAAAATGAAATTAAGATGATCTAACTTAATATCAACGAACAAAAATGAAATGAAAAAAAAACATTCATCATGGGTGCATTCCGATTTACTTTCATTTCCATTCTAGAATACAAATCGCTAAATTAAAACCAAAATGTATGGAGGACTATGAGTGAGATATAATAAATAAATCTTTAGCAAAAATGTCAATAAACCATAAATGTGTGTATGTCAATGAATACATAGAAGTCCAAAGGATTTATTTATGTAATCAAATGATTGTTTTTATTCAATTTTATTTTAAATTATATTTTGCATTGATGTATTAACATTTATTTATCGACCTTATTTATTTCAAAGATTCAAGAGATAGTAAATATAATTCTCTTTATTTATGAAATGTGTCAATAAATAAATACATAAATAGCTTTTAAATTAAACTTTTGGATTTGGACTTTGATTAATTTATTACCTTTTTGTATTTGGCATTTCTTGATGCATGTATTGACATAGACTTATTTATTCATTGACACTCTTATTTAATAGATTTGAAAGATTTATTTATGAATATGCCACTCCCTGTCCTCCTTGCATTTGAAAACATTCCCAATTATGATACATAGCCTAGACAGCTGCAAAAAAATGCAACTTAGTCCCAGTTTGCGGTTAGCGCGGCGGACACTACAGCTGAGAGACCTTCCTGGGGGTGGGCCTGTGGCGCGGTTCGGAATTAATTCGCTGTGTGCGGTTCAGTTGGGGTTTTGCGGTCAGGCTGGGGTTGTCAGTACTGGGCGGCACTGATAGACTGTGAGGCAGTGGCGTCGCTCGCCGGGGATTGTTCCGTTCGTAGACGCTGTAGGGAGGAGGAGTCTTGCTGCCCCGCCGAATGGGCATGTCCATGGGAACGGCGGGGGGCAGAGGAGGGTCGGGCGGCGGGAGGTCGATCCCACACGTTTCAGAGACGCTGCAGCGGCTGAGGGACGAGATGCCGCTGCTGTAGCTGCCAGAGCGGGCAGGGGAGTGAGATGCCAGGCTCCCCATTGGCAAGCCATCGGTCGGGGAGGGCGTGAGGGGCGGCACCATTGACTGCAGAGCAAAATCAAGCACAAGCAATTCATTAACCCGTTCACAAGTAAGTTAAAAATATGCCCGGTGTGACTTTTTTAAAGCGACCATTATTTTAGAACGTATCACCTTATTATTTTCATGTCAAGCTTGTCATGTGACACCGCAGCCACAATAGAGTGCAACAGTCGGGTTTCGAGAGTAAAAGCTCCATTCATTCCATAGGAAAACTGATTTTAAATGATAACTTTAAAACCTTTAAAAGACAGCCCTACTGTGAGCTACGATGTTGTTAATCCATGTTTTTGCTTCTGCTGAAGCCATCAGCCTGCATTATTTCAGCTTATTTTTTTTACAATTATCGTGTTGGACATACATTACCCATGATGCTGTATAGAATCAGAGAGTTGAAAAAAGCAACATGCGCCAAAATAGCTCCCATGAAATTTGATTATGCTGTTCGCAATGCTTCATGGGATTTTTGTTATTTCCCCCACTAAAGCCATTAAGTACACAGTATTGTACCTTTGTCTTTTTGTCTAATATTCATTTTTACTTTGTTGTGATTCACCTTGTAGCTGACTGGCTTGGTTCAGAGCTTATAACTCTTTAATAAAGACTTTTTTAAAAATCCCTATGGGAATAATGAATGGAAGAATAACTTCCGGAACTATAGCGTCACTCTATAGCGCTTTATGGCTGATATATCGGTTTAATTACATTTTTTTATTCAAAGTATTTCATATTTATTCAAAATAAAAAACTAGAACGTTTTAGTATTGTAATTTTACAGTTATACTATAAAATAAAATTATTTTTATTATTTTTTTATTAAATACTCAATTTCTTTACAGTACGTTTACAATATTGCAATTTCACAATTATTATTATATTTTTATACTTAATTAGTCAAAAACTATGTGTTTTTTTAATGTGCCTTTGCAAACTCAAGTGGAGAGATATTTTTGTAAACTCTGTTAACTTCATGGTTACTGAAAGGGGTTTGAGTTAGTTCTTGTAAAAAACCAAACAAGTGTGAATGCCCAAATAAATAAATAAATAAATAAACCGTTAAGCCCTAAAAGGATGGTTCATATAGTAAAAACTAATATTCCAGCTTTTTAATACAATTTTTTAAATCACCCCACTCATTCTAGAATGATTCATTCTTTCCAAATATAGCTATTCAAGTCATCTGGTAAACATTCCTGTATTTCTTTTCATTTTGTCCAATATCGTGCAGCCCCATAATAGTGTGAATTAGGCATAAAGGAATCACCTTCTGAGGGGAGCGGGCGGTCGGCATGGGAGACAGTGACCTCACATTCTTGCACAGAGATCCTATTCAACACACACACACACAAACACAGGAACAAAAGGACATGTCATTGAGCCG